AGTGGAATATTTGACTGCAGTCAGGTAAGTGATCAGTTGAGCTGCCAACTGCCAAGATTTGTCTGTTTCTTTGCCAGGCACACTGTTTAAAACGCTGTTAAACTATTTATCTTTTGTCCCCCTTGCTAATATGCCATATTTTCTGTTTTCCCAGGGCGCCAATGCCTCCGCTTTGGAGAAAGAGATTGGTCCGGAGCAGTTTCCAGTGAACGAGCATTACTTCGGCTTGGTCAACGTGAGTGGGTCTTGCATGCTGGGTACGGGTTTGTGTTCGGTGATGCCTGCCTGCCTCCGCCGCTGGGTTCCAGGCCACGTGTCTGTGGGTGGTGCTGCTGGCGCAAGAGAGAAAGAGGCTCAGATTAGGACTTTGGGACCTGCACATGACACTTTAAAAGAATTATATTTTTTGATGTTAAATAAAGCAGACTTAACAAACTTGACTTTAAACAGCTGTCGATTTCCTATTTGGGCAAGCATGTAGCGACTCAGCAATTGCAAAAACTTGGGTAGAAATTCTGAGTCAGTTCCAGTGATGTGTAGGCAGCTAATTTGAGCAAATTTTTTAAAAAACCAAGAAAACTTGCTCCCAGGAATAACCTGCTTGTTTGAGCACGATAACATCAGAGCTGTGAACGTATGAGGGCACAAGAGCAACTGTTCTGGATCACGCCAGTGGTGCTTCAAAGGCAGCATCCTGTTCTACAGAGTGGCCGACTCCTGGGAGTCCGGCGGGCAGAGAACAGAGGCTCCTCAGCACTGGCATTCACAGTGTGCGACTACCACTGAATATGGAGTTTACTTACTTACTGAAAGAATCTCTGTGCCACTGCACTGCAGAACCTGTTTGAGATGCCTCATTGTGGTGGCTCATGAGTCATTGTGGCTAGCTGCCATTGATGGACCCGTTCTTCATAAATTGGTCTAATCCTATTTCAAAGCTAACTGAACCAGTGGCTATCGCTGCATCCTGGGGCACTGAATTCTTGGAATGGAGGGCTAATTCACTTTGCCCCTCCTGAATCTACTGCCCATCGGCTCCACGGGATGCCTGCAAGTTCTAGGACTATGGGAAAGGGAGAACAAGGTCTCTGTCCCCTTTTCCCACCCCACGCATAATTTTATAAACCTTTGTCATGTCACCCCATAGTCCTGTTTCATTTGAACTGAAAAGCCCCTTGCTGCTTGGCTTTTCCTCGCAGTGGAGGTGCTCCAACCCCCCGATTATTTTGATCTTCTCCTGTCCCAGTGCCATAATATCCTTTTCGTGTTACTGTGACCAGAACTGTACACCATATTCCAAATGTGCCTACACCATAGGTCAATCAAAGATGATGATACTGGCAATCCTTTTTTCAGTCCCTTTCCTAATAATCCCCAGCACAGAATTTGCTCCCCCACAATGAGTCAATGTTTTCATTGAACTATCCAAGAGCGCTCCGGGGCCTCTTTCCTGGTCAGTCACCACCAGTTGATCCCATCAGCGTATATTTAATGAAATTTTTGTCCCAATATGCAGTACTTCCTGCTTACTCACAGTTGACCTCGTTTGCCACATTGCTGCCCACTCACCTGGCTTGGAGTGATCTTTCTGCAGCTGCTCACGATCTGCTTTGTCCCTCCGTCTCCTGAATAATTTGGTGCCATCTGCAAACTGGGCCATTTCACCGATCATCCCAATTCCAGACAAAGTATGTAGTGTCAGTCCCAGTCACTGTGAAAGTTTGCTGCTTCCTCCTGCTTCCTCCAGTTTGGTGTCGTGGTTAAGTGCACGGACTCTAATCTGGGAGAACCGGGTTTGATTCCCCACTCCTCCACTTGCACCTGGCTGGATGACCTTGGGCAAGCCGTAGTTCTGACAAGAGCTGTCCTTGAAAAAGAGCAGTTTCTATCAAGAGCTCTCTCAGCCCCACCTACCTCACAGGGTGTCTGTTGTGGGGGGGGGAGGGAAAGGAGTTTGTAAGCTGCTCTGAGACACCTTTGGGTAGTGAAGGGCGGGCTATAAATCCAATCTCTTCTCTTCCTCTTCCTTGCGAGAACTATCCTCTACAGTAGATCTCCTCTGGATCCCTTTTTAAAAACTGGCATTATATTTGCTCTCTTCTAGGCTTCTGGCCAGAGGGCTAGTTTTAGTGATAGGTTGTATATGTTTGTTAGGAGATGAACAGTTTTGCATTTGAGGTTCCTTCAGAACCCATGGGTTTATGCCATCCGGACTTGGGGGTTTGTTAGTTTTTAATTTGTCCATTAGCTCCAGAACTTCCTCTTTCATTGCTGTTCTTTGACTCAGTACGTCTGACCAGATGGGCCGCTGGTCTGATCCAGCAGGGCTCTTCAATCCCCAGCATCTCGAGCTAAAAGGGTCAGGTGGTAGGTGATGCGAAAGACCTTTTACCGGGAACCCCGGAGGAACCCCGGAGAGCTGCTGCCCACCTGAGGGCCAAGGGTCTGCTTCAGTAGAAGGCAGCTCCCTGTGTTCCTTCTGCTTTCGCAGTCCATTAACTGGGAGGGGCAGTGGCTCAGTGGCGGGACATTTTTTGTCACAAACCAGGCTGCACTTTGGTGTTTTAGGTGCAGAACCAGTTTGCATACCAAAAAGCATCTTCCTCAAGAGTGGTTTCATGTCTGTCCTAGAATATCAGAGCCTTGGATGACACGGGGGGGAAGTCAGGACTGTAAAACTAGGGGGGGGCCATAGAGGATGCTAAAATGTCCTTTATACCACCCACGGTATTGGCAAGAGTATGAAGCCGTTTCCTATTAATAACTTCTTACTCCCCCCTTTCCTCTTTTGGTAGCAAGAACTGCTTCCCCAGCCTCAGCAGTCTTTCTTGCAGTTCTTCTGACTTTTCAAGTCATGATATGAAATGCCGTTGTCTCTTGGGCAGTTGCCAGATACGATAGGCAGTGTTTGACCCAAGAGCACATAGATGCCCAGGGCTGTGATTGACCACGCGGCCCTGTAATGCACGGCTTCTTGATGGTTCCATTGGAACTCTCTAATGAACCCTTTCTTATGGGCTTCTCAAGCCTGTTTCTCCATTTCTAGGACAGCCACACAAAATGGAATTGGTTGGTCCCTGTGTGAGAGAAGATGCTGGACTACATGGACCACTGCTCTGATCCAGCAGGGCTCTTCTGATGGTCTTATCAGGGGAAGGCCTCGGCCTCTCTGCCCTGTTGTTGGACCTCCAGAGGAACTGGTTGGCCGCTGTGTGAGACAGGATGCTGGACTAGATGGACCACTGCTCTGATCCAGCAAGGTTCTTCTGATGTTCTTATGAAGGGAAGGCCTCGGCCTCTCTGCCCGGCTGTTGGCCCTCCAGAGGACCTGGTTGGCCACTGTGTGGTCCACTGGTGAGCCAAAATCTCTTTCCTATTTAGCTGTAAAAATGGCCACCAGACTGGTCCTGGCACAAGCACTTACCCATGCTTGTGTTGATCAATCACTGGTCTAAAAGGGCAAACAAACAGATTTTTTTTTCCTCCCAGCCTTACCTGTTTGCACAGAGGTGGTTCATAAGAACATAAGAGAAGCCCATGTTACTGGATTGGTCCTGGCACAGGCACTTACCCATCCTTGTGTTGATCAATCACTGATCTAAAAGGGCAAACAAACAGGGTTTTTTTTCCCTCCCAGCCTTAACTGTTTACACAGAGGTGATTCATAAGAACATAAGAGATGCCAATGTTGGATCAGGCCAAAGGCCCATCCAGTCCAACACTCTATCATACAGTGGCCAAAAATACCAGGTGCCATCAGGAGGTCCAGCAGTGGGGCCAGGACACTAAAAGCCCTCCCACTGTTGCCCCCCCCAGCACCAAGAATACAGAGCATCACTTGCCCCAGACTGAGAGTTCCTATCTGTACCTTGTGGCTAATAGCCACGGATGGACCTCTGCTCCAGATGTTTCTTACCTCGCCCCTGGCTGCCTAGCAAATAGCTGCTTCCAAGTGTTTTCTGAAACAGACCAGGCTGGGGTTTCAAAGAGAACTGGCGAATGGTGCTCATGATCTTTGATAGAGCAAAGTTTGGGTCCCCTGGCACCTTTAAGACCAACCAAATTTAATTCTGGCTATAAGCTTTCCCGTGCATGCGCAGAATAAAATTTTGTTGGTCTCCAAGGTGCCACAGGACTCAAACTTTGTCCTGTTGCTCCAGACCAACACGGCTGCCCACCTGGATCTATCTTTGGATAGCGTTTCTCTCTCCCATCCCCTTTCAAGGCTGCTCTGCCCGTCTTCACCCAAGAGGGGCCCTGCCATTTGTTCAGTGCGGCCGCAGGTAGCCAACTGCAAACGTGAAAAATCCCGAAAGTGGGGTCAGAAGACCTCAGTGGGGGGTGAGAGTAGTCTTTCCGATTCATCAGCACAGAGGAAGAGATGGGAGATTAGCAATGGGAAGATAAACGGACTACTGTATTGTATGAAAGGGTTTTTTTGCACCTTTGTGGCTCTGCCTGTTCAATCATAACCTGCCGTTGGAGGCAAGGGGTTGCAGGGACCTGCAACTGAACACATATTAAGGTGTCTTACGCTGAGTCAGACCAGCGATCTGTTGAGGTCAGTCTTGTCTCCTATGACAGGCAGCAGCTTCCAGAAATCTTTTACATCACTTCCTACCTCATCCTTTTAACTTAGAGATGCCAGGGGTTGAACCGAGGGCCTTCTCCGGGCCACGGAGAAGCTCTACCACTGAGCCACTTCCAGCACCTTGAATCCTCACTTTCTGATCCTTGTGTGGACGACATAGCACTTAACGTGTGGTGGTGGTGGTGGTTGCAGTGGCTGGCCCTGTGCCCAAACTTGTTGGCATCTGCACACTGGATCTCACATTACAAAAGGATCCAGACACATCAAGGCCAGGACGTACAGCCCTAATCCGTGTGCCCTTCTGTGCGCCACCTTGAGTTTTTGAGAGGTGTCAATAATCTGTTACACTCCAGTACTGAATATGTTTCCTCTATGGATGTTGGACTGGGCAAAACAGTTCCGATACCCACGGAGCAGATGTGCGATGCAGCCTGTGTCGGGAGTTATAAGCATCACACGGGGAAGGTCAGAGCCGTGATCTAGTCCAGGCAGAGAAGCTCGTTACCCCCAAATGCCACAATTAGAAAATCTCGCACCAGCAAATTCACTGCAAGCAGACGTAATTATGCAGATGAAGCAAACTATGCTCACGTTAGGTGATTGTATAATCTAGTAAATCAATTGGAATTGTTCAGCGTCGGCAGAAATGCTGTAGAGCCCCCCTGAGCTGTTAATTAGCAGGTTGCTCAAGGAGATGCGGCCGGGCTCTCCAGACCGTCTATACGGACGGGAAGTCAGGATCTGTTTAGTGTTTCCTCTTTTGCCGAAGGTTTGACCAACCCGGGGGTTTGTTCTGCTAACAGTGTTGCTTCCCCCTATGGAAGGAGCGTTCTCTGGGGCAGAGGATCTTGAGGTGGGGGGCAGGTCTTCTTCTATTCTGGGGCAGGGGGGGGGACATGCAAGATCCAGCCCCTTGCCAGTTTTTGTAATATTGGCTTATTTCATTAAACTTGGGGTGGTGACGGTGGTAATTGATGGAGGCAATAAAAGTGAACCCACACCTGCTTATTTTAGAATCAGACTTCCATCTCTGGCCCTCACTGCGTTATGCGTAATAGATGCCAGGAGGGTTACGTTCTTCAAATGTGGAACTCCTGTGGATGAAACGTGACTTTCAGCCTCTCAGTCAGGAAATTGACTCTGTGGAAAGCCTTCTGCTCCAGTCATTTTGCACGTAGATTTTGATGCTCTCTGGTAGCTGAATTCCAAGGCATGCTGCATAGCGTGATTCGTGGCCTTCTGCAGGCTTAATTAGTTGTATGTTGCTTCTGTTTGTTGTAAATGTGTCACTTGGCGTGCTCTGGAGACGGAGGTTCTCATCGGAAAACCAGCCTGAGGTTTGGCCATGTCTGAGGGGGGCGTTGTTTGTAAGGACTGAAACTCGATTGTGCAGTCTAATCAAGCTGGCCTTACTCTTGCACAGTGGTGAAAACTGAATTGCTCACAATAGTTTGAAAAGCTGGAAACAAAGCAGACTACCTTTGCAGTCATACACTCTCTCCGTCTCTCTGTAGCTGTTGGAAGGCATTTAACAGCCGCATTCGAGTCCAATAGCACCCGAGAGGCCGGCAAGATGGGGAGGGGGGGGTTGGCGCTTCCATGAGCCAAAGCTCCCTTCGCTAAGGGCTCCTACCCCAAAGCATCTCATTGGTCTCTCAGTTGCTCCTGCACTTGAATCCAGCTCTCCTGCAGACCAGCATAGCCACCTTCTGCAGCAAAAGGCGTTCCGGGTTTCAGCGGTTGCTGTGCTGGCCGTCCTCTCAGGACTCCGCATCTCTTCCGTGCTGTCCTCTTTTTCTCTGAGAGGACACAGCCTTCGGATACGACAGATGCAAAACAGCTGCTTCTAGCGATCTCGGCACTGGGCACGTTGCCAGTAAATCCTTGTAAACAGGAAATATGAGCTAAATGTCTCATGTCCCCTGAAACACATTTTTTCTCTTGTCTGGTGTGGGCAGTTCCAAATGGTTCTCAACCCACCTATCCCATCTTTGCCCAATTCAGGACGACCCAGGGGAAAAACACAGGGCCCGCTGGTTTCTGCGGAGGAGAATAGGGCTGCGGTGTTCTCCTGGGGGGCTCTTGGATGCAAGAACTCGCTGTGCTGGAAACTGCCTCTGACCTCCCCACCGACCTGTAGGGACCAGCCTTAATGTGGAGCCAACAGTGTTGGGCCAACATCCAGTCAAGTGCTGTTCCCTCTGCAGAATTGATTCATAAGACTGGTTTCTGGAAGAACAAGAAGTCTCATTGCTGAGTGCTGGGCCCTGGGTTCCAGATCTTATAAGGATCGTTGGTTCTTGTAGTTCTTCTGTGCCTGCACAGAGCAATGCTGAGAACTTTCTAGAACTAAAGACCTGAAATTTGGCATGGAAAACACTGCTTGCTTAATAGAATGGAGGTGTTTTTTAACATGCCAGAAATCTAGCTTTGGCTTAAGAACATAAGAACATAAGAGAAGCCCATGTTGGATCAGGCCAATGGCCCATCTAGTCCAACACTCTCTGTCACACAGTGGCCAAAAATACGAGGTGCCATCAGGAGGTCCAGCAGTGGGGCCAGGACACTAGAAGCCCTCCCACTGTTGCCCCTATCCCCCAAGCACCAAGAATACAGAGCATCACTTGCCCCAGACTGAGAGATCCTATCTATACCCTGTGGCTAACAGCCACGGATGGATCTCTGCTCCATATGCTTGTCTAATTCCCTCTTGAAGCCATCCATGCTTGTAGCCGCCACCTCCTCCTGTGGCAGTGAATTCCATGTGTTCATCCCTCTTTGGGTGAAGAAGGACTTCCTTTTATCTGTTCTAACCCGACCGCTCAGCAATTTCATGGAGTGCCCACGAGTTCTTGTATTGTGAGAAAGGGAGAAAAGTACTTCTTTCTCGACCTGCTCTATTCCATGCACAATCTTATAAACCTCGATCTTGTCACCCCTCAGCCATCGTATCTCCAAGCTAAAGAGCCCCAAGCGCTTTAACCTTTCTTCATAGGGAAAGTGTTCCAACCCTTTTATCATTTTCTGCACTTTTTCCAAAGCTATAATATCCTTTCTGAGGTGTGGTGACCAGAACTGTACACAGTATTCCAAATGAGGTCGCACCATTGATTTATACAGGGGCATGATGATACTGGCTGATTTGTTTTCTGATTTATTACTGGCTTCCATGGTGTCTGTGTTACAAGACAATCCTGTGTGATTGCGGAGTCTTGAGTGTTCTCAGAGGGCAAACCCGAACCCGTCTTACGCGCAGTCTAGGTCCGTTCTCGTCTGAACATGCACAGCTGGTGCTCTCTCACTGAGCAGCGGCCCGTCCCATCCCATTTTGTCTAATCAGGTTAGTCTCTTTTATTTTGGGGTGGCAGGGGAAATATTTAGATTTTTCAGTGTTTGGGTATTCCTCTTTTAACGCCATTGGATTGGGGACAACATGCACTCCTCTCTCAGTTTCTGAGATTGCCCGCAAGTCTCTTCGCATCCTTGCAGCCGGCCTTCCATTTATTTGTATATCTATTTGCTCCACTTACACCCCATCTTTCTCCCCAGAGGACCCCCAAAGCAGTTTACATTGTTCTTTCCCCCTCCCCCTCCCGTATGAGTCTGTGCTCCAACTACACACATCTGGTGCCTCCCTGCTGCCTGCCCCCCTCTGTTTAGGAGGTTCATTCGGGTGCACCCTGTGCGCACTGATGTTCAGGGGGTGTGCCAACACTTCGGAATAGCCTGCCAGACGTAATGTGGAGAGCTTTTGCCCTCTCTCCCGTCCATAACAGGTGCCGGTGGAATTATTTTGATGCGCCTTTCTCTGGCAGTGACAATGTTTTAACTTAATGGGCTTTAATGTATGTGTTCAAGTGTGTTTTGCGGTTGTGTATGTTTGCATTACCCTGAACTGGATGGCCAAAGCTAGTCCGATTTTGACAGCTCTTGGAAGCTAAGCCGGGTTGGCTTTGGTTAGTACTTGGATGGGAGACCAGCCAGGAAGCCCAGGAGGGTCGCTATGCAGAGGCAGGCCATGGCCAACCACCTCTGAATGCCTCTTGCCCTGAGCACCCTGTGGGGGCCGCCTGAGGTCAGCTGCAACTTGAGGGCACTTTACACACACACATTTGCATTACACACACACATTTGCATTTTGTGAGCTGCCTCGGGCACTGTGGAAAGGCGGGAAAGAAAATGTATTTATTTAAAATATTTATCCTCACAACAACCCTGTGAGGTAGGTTAGCCTGGGGATTTGAACCTGTGTCTCCCAGATCCCTCGAACTGCGCTTTTTAGTAGACTTCATATGATTATGGTTTTTTTTTTGCTTTTTTCACTTTCTCCCCCTCAGTTTGGCAACACCTGCTACTGCAACTCCGTCCTGCAGGCCCTTTATTTCTGCCGCCCGTTCCGGGAGAAGGTCTTGGCGTACAAGGTCCAGCCCCGCAAGAAGGAGAGCCTCCTGACGTGCCTCTCTGACCTCTTCAACAGCATCGCCACACAGAAGAAGAAGGTGGGGGTCATCCCGCCCAAGAAATTCATTTCCCGACTGAGGAAAGAAAATGGTAAATAAACCTCGTAAAAAAAATAATAAGCCTCTGCCCACCTCAGTGTCCAGAGACCCAGGGCTCCTTCCGGCCTGACCTTTCCGGGCGTGGGCTCCTTCTTCACCATTCCAGCAGCGTCAGTCGATCCGGGCCATTTGCAATCGTCTCCCTTCTCACAGCACTGTCCCGCTTCCTTGAGGCACGGAGCAGGGCTGGCACGGGAAGGAAAAGGGGTCAGCTTCCAAGGCTACTGCAGCCGGGCATCCAAGTCGGAGGAGGATGTCAGAAGGTGGCCACAGACCTCCTTCCTTGGTGCCCACCAGATGGGCCTTGAGCACCACTTAATGAGGCACGTGTGGTCTTTGGAGACTCTTCCGAATCTGGCCAACGAGTGGTCCAGAGAGGTATCCCAAGTTGGAATGGCCCAATTTTTTGGGGTCCAGAAAACAGGTTGAGGACCAAAAATATATCTTTTTGTCACAGGTTACCCCCCCCCCCCAGTGGATCAGCCCGTGTTTACGTTAAAGTTCGGGATTGCTTATGTGCCTGCTGCACACACGCAGTCTCTCTCACACTGACACGTGCATACCCTCTTAGAAGCATTTTCTTTTGACTTCAAGGCACAGCTTTCGCCATCCATTGAGTAAAGTTTCCTTAAGTTGCCGGAAGCCAGTGAAAGTGCTTCAGGGGCTGTTTCCTGGCCATGTGTTGCCAGCTGACCAGCCCGGTGCCCACAGATCCCCTGCAAATGATTCCCAGAGTAGAAGGCTGCCACTTGCAGCAACTAAGAGAACGGAGGCAGTTCTGCCACGGTGACCGCCACCTTGGGTGAAAGCGGTGGCCAGCAGGAGAGGGACCGATTTGTCTCCAGGGGTGCAATCCATTGGGAGATTCCTCTTCACAGGCTCCATTGAAATGAATGGGAGCCATACGAGAACTTTTGTGCCTCATTAATGAGTTGGATCCTTTCGCAAGGGACTCAGTCCAACCAATTAATGGAAGAGAGGTAAGGGCTTGCTCTTAGGTATTCCTCTACCGTGAGAGAGGACTTATGGGTCTGGAAGCAGGAGGCCCTGTGCTGCTGGAGCCGTGAAGATAACCAAAGACTGGCCGCACGAGTGTTCCGGGCAGCATCCCGACAAACCTCCTCTCAGTTCTCTTGCACCGCTCTCTGTTTTATTTCCAGAATTGTTTGACAATTACATGCAACAAGATGCACACGGTTCCTGACCTACCTGCTGACCACGATTGCCGACTTGCTGCAAGAATAGAAGAAGCAAGAGAAGCAGAACGGCAAACTCCAGAACGGGAGCATCGACAGTGACGAAGGGGAGAAGGCCGACCTCACCTGGGTCCACGAAATCTTCCAGGGCACCCTCACCAATGAAACCAGATGCCTTAACTGTGAAGCTGTAGGTTACCACTCCTCCACCCCCCACCCCAATGTTAATTTATGTGGTTCTGTCCAAGGAATCTGTATTCCCACCCCTCTTTTTCAAGGCAGTAAGCCTGTGTTTAGCTAAAGTAGGTTTTGGGTGTCCTGGTGAGCAGTGGGTGGGCTATGGGTGAGCACAGCTGATTGTTCCCCACGTCTGTGAGCTGCCAAAGGGATGGGAACCCAGACTCCATCAGGCCGTGGGTCTGTCAAGCTTCCACTGCAACTGGAGGTGGTTCTGTGGGGCCCCAAGCAGAGATCTTCCCCAAAACTACATTAGCTCAAGATGGCAGAGATGGATTCTGGGGCCTTCTGTGGGCGTTTAGGACACAACTGTGCTCCGTTAGGAAAGAGTCATTCAGTCCGCCTGTGTCCAAACAGATCAGCATGCATCTCTTTTGCTTTCTGGCCCTTCACACACCACTGACACAGCCTTAGGCGGGTTTCCCCGTGGCTGTCATTCTCCCTGTGATAATTCAGTGTGCATTTTGGGATGCCAGATCTGTGTCCCGCTATAATCTAGCAGAAAAATTTCAGCAAGCGGATGGATCACGGGGGGAACTTAATCTGAATGCTCTTATTGCATGAACGGAGGTATCGTTGACTGGAGCTGCATCTTGAACCCCCCTCGCATACGTGCTCTTGCAAGCCTGTGCAAGGTAGCCAGTCTTTTTAGCCAGTCTAAGGTGGCGACTCTCTCCATTGCCCGGTGTTGGTAGCTCTCTGTGTACAGCCATTAGCTGTGCCAGAATCTCTGTGTTCATTGGCCGTCTGCCTCTGACTGCCACATGCTCTGGGCCATCCAGTTTACTTGTAGGCTTCCCTGGAGTATCCAGCCAGCCTCTGTTGTGAATGGGATGCTGGCCTATTTATTATTATTTGCAGGGGTCATTTCATAGAAAAATAGGTGCAGGAGCTCATTAGCATAACTCATTAGCATAACTTATTTGCATGTGCCACACCCCCTGACATCACCGGAAGTTTGTCAGAAGGCAACACCCACCGCTAAAGGCCCAGTGGGTTTTTTGTGGTGCGTTATTTTTGGGGGGGGGGGGGGACATGCAGATCTGTCCTTGCAGAGGAGAGAGAGCTTGTACTTAAATAAAACTTGGTCTTAAAGGTACCACTGCACTGTTTTGGATTGCTAGCTATGGGGGGGACGACAAGCGCAGATCTGCCCTCACAGAGGAGGGAGAGCTTGTACCTGAAGGTGGGCTGGGGGGAGGCTCTGCAACTTACCTGGCTGCTTCTTGCTCCTTGTGGCCCGACTGAGGGCTGCTGGGAGCAGGAGGTGGGGCTTGTTGCATGTTCTTGCCCCTTGGGCTCCTTACTGCCGGAGCTCCGCTCCTGTGCGCTCCCGCTGGAAATGACCCCTGATTATTTGAAATACACGCACCTTGCACATCGTTCCCGAGGCAGCTTTCAACAATGAGATGGCTAGCAACAGACAAAGTAGTCTGCGGGGGCAAAGAGCTACGCTGCTGTAATAACTAGAACGAGCCGGCTTCTGACCTGGAGACTCAAAATGTGTTTCAGTCCAAATAGCTCTTTGGATCAGAAAAGGAGACAGGCGTCTCCAGTCCCAAAGTGCTAAAGTGCAACTTTAAAGAGGCTCATGACTGCTTTCCACAGCAACAGCCCGCCTGCCCCTCGGCGGAAAAGCGGAGCCAATAAAGCGGCAGGCCGCAGCCCCCTTATTTTTAACCCCCTTTCAGCCTCCCCCCAAAGCCCTCCTGGACAGTGCTGCTGGGCGGGGCTTCCTGCAAACAGCCAGGACGGAGGCTGTCCCCTCCTGGAAGACTGTCCCCCGGGGATGCCGCCACCGCTCCATTTGTGGTCGAGTTGATAGACAAACGGAAAGGAGAAGCTGGCCGGGGGCACAGAGGGTCAGTCCCAAGTAGCTCTGGCCCTCAGTGGGCAGGTTGGAGCTCTCTTGCCGGGAGGGGGGGCTGAGTTCTGCCGGGGGGGGGGCTTAGTCAGGCACACAGAGCTGCTTGACACAGGTAGCCGCCCGGGTGAAATGAGGTCCTCTGCAGTGACGGAGGTCTCCAGATATGTCCCGGACGGTGCCCTGCCAGCATCACGTTTGTATCAGGCAGGGGTCATTTCCTGCAGGAGTGATCTGGCCCTTCACACACCACTGACACAGCGTTAGGCAGGTTTCCCCGTGGCTGTCATTCTCCCCGTGGCACGTTCCCCTCACCCCCAATAGCTAGCAATCCAAAACAGTCCAGTGGAGCCTGAGCCGTGGGTTTTGCCTTCTGACACACTTCCGGTGATGGAATATGGGTGTGGCATATGCAAATGTTATGCTAATGAGTTGTGCTAATGAGCTCCTGCACCTCTTTTTCTACGAAATGACCCCTGGTATGAGGCATAAAGTTCGGCTGTCTTGGAGAGTGTAACTTCTGAATCTTAAGATACCCAATTTGCTGGAATAACATATGTGCAATTATTTTAAGCATTTCTGAATTTGTTTGACTGTAAGTCTTTCTGATGTCCTCCCCCACCCTTTCTCTTTCTCTCTCTCTCTCTTTTTTCAAGGTTAGTAGCAAAGACGAAGACTTTCTAGATCTGTCTGTGGATGTGGAACAAAATACTTCAATAACACACTGTTTGAGGTAAATTCTGGGGTGGGGGGAGAAGACCGGGTTACGCGTGGCTGCCGTGAGAAGGCAGAGTTGAACGGATGGATGGTACTGGCTGTGAATGTTTTGTTGACACAATGCCCCTGATGCAGAGTGTTGTAGACGAGCCCAGCAAAAAGAAGTGTCCCTACGCTGAGGAGCGTAGAGCCCAGATTTTGACACAGATGAGAGAGAGAGGTACGGGTAGCAAGGGGATGGCCAAGGGGAAGTTCAGCACTCAATGAAATTGATGAACAGATAAAAGGAAAACCTTCTTCACCCAAAGAATCATTAAGATGTTGAATTCACTGCTGCAGGAAGTGGTAGTGGCAACGGGCATAGACAGCTTCAAAAAGGGATTGGATAAACATATGGAGCAGAGGTTAGCCACAAGGTATAGAGGGAGCACTGTGTCTGGGGCACTGTATCCTTGGTGCTTGGGGGCAACAGTGGGAGGGCTTCTGGATTTCTGGCCCCACTGGTGGACCTCTTGATGGCACCTGGTGTTTTTGGCCACTCTGTGACACAGAAGAGTGTTGGATTGGATTGGCCATTAGCCTGAGCCAACATGGCTTCTCTTATGTTCTCTTGTTCTTAATCCCTGCCTGGGAGTTACTTTAGAGGGTGAAGTAAAAGGCATCACGGGAAAGGTGGGCTTTGAGGAGAGGGGCTCTGGCAGAGGGTTCCAAGCATAAAGGGCAGCAAGGGGTGGTGGTGGTGGAGTGAAGCCACGTAAAGGGCGTGCATCCTGTGCGCACGCGTATTTTGGAATAAATCTGATTGTACTCTGTGGGGCTCCCTTTTGGTTAACTTCCCCAGCCTTTGGCTATGCCAAGAGAGGAAACTGTGGGACTGCTGAAGGTGGCAGGGCTGGAGCAGCGATGGCTGCAGACACAGAGTGTTCCCTGAACCAGTGTGGAATGGCTTACCAGCATGCCCTGTCCAGGCGACTGTTTCCTGCACTGATATCACAACTCTTTAGGGGAAGGGCCTGCAGAGGGAAGCAATAATGCACGCTTGGCCCGTCCCCACTTTACCTGCCAGGCTGTTAGCGGTGCCTGAAGATTGCCCCTGAGGGGGCTAGATGGGGAAATGGTGGAAGATCAGAAGACAGCTTGTTTTCTTCTTGTCATCCTCCAACGTGCCACAGTTGCCTTGGGTAGACAGGCTGGGGTAGACAGGCTGGCAAAAGCAAGCAATCAATAACCTTTGCGGCCTTCTCTTAGCCAATCTGTGTACTGTATGCATACACAGCGAAGCAGAGCTGCCTGCACTGTTGCACATGATTCACCAGCATGGGTTTTATGCACTGAAGTGGCTTCCTCCTGCAGGTCAACCAGCACCTGAGCACAGCTTAAATATTTGGATCCCATGAAATCCTTAAGGCAGTTCGATTATTTCCTTTCTTAAAGGGAATTTGGAAATGGTGGTTGTGTAGTTATGTACTTATGTCTGACATAACCTCTGTGGCTTTTTAATGACTGATAGCATTTTTTAAACTATTGATAGCATTTAAAGAGGAGTCCTATTTTCTAGCCACTAGACCAGGAGTATCAAACATGCGGCCCGGGGGCTGGATTAGGCCCCCAGAGAGCTTCTATCAGGCCCGCAGTGGAACTGGCTGCCTTCTGCTTCTTCTTCCAGTTCTGCTGCTGCTGCGTCATCATAGGCTTGCAGCTTACATATACACCTGAACAGCTTACATATACACCTGAACAGCATACTCAAGATTGCAACAGCACAGACATTTTGATGCAATAATTCAGAGCAAGAGGTGTCAGTTATCAGACATTGTTAAATAAACAAAATATTGCAAAAGTGCTAATGTTTTAAGCATGTTTTTATTTTAAGTTAAAAAAAAACCTTTGTGTTTATGTCCTTTATAAAGTCTATATCTCCGCGACCTGGTATTACGTTTTATGACACACATGGCCCAGCCCAACAAGGTCTCATTTATGTCAGATCTGGCCCTCATAACAAATGAGTTTGACACACCTGCACTAGACCAAGTAAGATTATAGTCAGAGAGGTGTGCCTCTGAACTTCTGGGTTCTTCCTTGAATGCATCCCTTGAATATTCATAAGTCACAAAATTGTGCCCCTTGAGGCTCAGCTCTCGCGTTACTGCTTGGCATGAGGATGTTGCCAAAAGAAGATTCTTTCCAGGTTATCTGTGTGGCAATTCTTTGGATTAAATCTGTTCTTGCAAGCTGTGCATGTACTCAAATAAAATGGTGCAGCAAAATCGCCTTGCAGTGACTTCTGCCCATAAGTAAGGAATGTGAGGACCGGGCCTGAAAAAGACACGTGGGAAGAAGCCTCCTTTTCCTCAGCCGGCTGTCTGGCCATTGGACAGGAGGGCATCCATGCTTCCTTGCGTGAAGCGGGATCGTGCCACAGCGCGGGCTGCGCAGTGAGAAGAGTTTGGTCAGTAGTAGAAAGCCCACCTGTGCTGACCACAGGGCTCTAACTCCTCCTTTTCCGCAGGGGGTTCAGCAATACGGAGACTCTGTGCAGCGAGTATAAGTACTACTGTGAGCAGTGCCGCAGCAAACAGGAAGCGCAGAAGAGGTGAGGCGGAGCTTGGCTCGATGCGGGTGGCAGATGGTTCTCAGGGCTCCTTTTGCACACAGCAATCTGGGGAGGGCAGAAAGGCACCGGGTGGGATATTGGTGGCAGATTCTGCTCCTTGACTTGTTTTCTTCTTTTAAAACGGCATGCTGCCAGCTGCGCTTGGTGTGTCCCACCCGGGGGTGGCCTTGTCTGGTTTCCCTGTGGCTGCTGATACAGCGTAGCAGCCACGGGGCTTCCCCATGATGGGTTTCATGATGATTTCCCCATCCCAGTCTCCCACAGTGGACAGTTCCCCCACCAAGAGAGGGCTTAAAAACAAAACAAAACACCAGTTGGCATATTGTTATAACTTTATAACTCTATAACAACCTGTCTATCATGTCCTCTGAATTTTTCTTCCTTTCTTCCTTTCTTCCTTCCTGTGTCCTCTGAATTTTTCTTCCTTCCTTCCTTCCTTCCTTGTCTCTGTCCCTTTTCATTGCAGTGATCAAGGGGGGAAGGGTCTAGACTCTAGAGACTTTTAAAAAATGAAAACTGGGAATGCAGAGAACCTGATAGACCATTTTTATTACACTGTCACAATAGTTGTTTGCTGATCTATCAACTCAAAAACAGCCCTCCCAGTGACAAGGAAAATGGTTCAAATTTGGGCAGGACTGGGAAGATCTGGGCTTTCCCACTCAGGTGTCCCCTGGCTTAGCTGTGATTGTCCCCAAAACTTTGCAGCAAAGCAGGTTTGAGGGAGATCTCAGGAGAGCCCGGTTCAGTCCCCAGCATCAGCATCTCCATCTCCAACTGCCTGAGACCCTGGAGACAGACCCTGCCTGTCTGTGTAGACAGTACTGACATTGATGAACCAAGGGTCTGATTCAGTAGAAGGCAGCTTCCTGTGTAGTAAGTTATGCTAAATAGTAACCAGAATAGATGCAGAAGGAGTGATGCAGGAGAGGCCGGGTACAGAACAGAATTGTGCAGACTGCAAAATTCAGCCTGCTGCTGAGAAAACAGCATCTGGCACGTGGTCTAAATTAGGAGCATCTTTTGTTGTCAAAGCAAAGCCAAATTATCTGCAGCCCCATCTCATTGGCTTCCAGAAAGGATGGTCATGACCAATGCTCCCTCTAAGCTGTGGAGTCTTATGAGCAAAAATCCTACTTTGTGAGCTACTGGCATTAAAGTTGTGAGCGAGCGATTAGGGAACTGCATAAATGAGTTTCCTCTGGAGCCCTCCTTCCTGAGCTAAGACAAAAATGTGTGAGCCAGAGGCTAAAAAACTGCGCTAGCTCACACGAACTCAGCTTAGAGGGAACACTGGCATGACTGCTTTTTTCTCTTGCTGGTCAAATCAAAACTGTTTGATTGTGATATAGGAGAAAGGAGGGGTTCCCCCTCTTTGTCTTTTCTCTTGCTCCCACAAATGGAGGAGAAAATCCAGATTTTGCATTGCTCAATTGAACCATTGTCAGGGCAAAGTGTATTCATCACATGAAGAAAGAGGAATGATGGTTGCTGTTCATTGTCATTGTACTGTGCCATCCCATATGGGTACTGCGCACATGCACAGGCCAGCCGCCAGAAGATTTTTTTAGCTAGCCTAGTAACAGAGCAGGAGGAGCCCTTCCCAACTGGAGACATTGGAGCCATTTCCCGCCCAACAATCACGTGCTCCAGGGAAGGGCTTCGCACTCTCCCTCAGTTCTCTCTTTGCCGCTGCTAAAGAAGAGCACTCTTTAGCTAACCCCTTAGCAGTTTTTCTCCTCTCAGAAAAGATGTCATTGTCCAAAAAATATACGTCTTGTTCACCAAAAATGACGAGGACGGATGAGCACTCTGTGTGTTTGCTTTGTTTGGGTGAGAGCCGTAACGTAGCGGCCTGTAAAATCTGCAAGCAGTTTACCCCAAAAGCTAGGGCCGAACACGCCTCCCAGCTAAAAGCTGCTCTGTGGGGAAAGGCTCTCTCAACTTTGGCTAACCCGACAGCAAAGACATCTGCCCTGTAAAACACCCTATTTTCTCAGTGCCATAAGCAATTCTCTGACCACGCTTCACGCACTCTGTTGGTAGCACGAACCCATTCATTTCCAAGGTTGGACTGAACCGTAGGCGTTCCGGAACAACTGACAGGTCGTCCTTGGAACCACCACTGAAAAAAACACAAATTGAAGTCAAAACATAAGACTCCTCGATCAGGCTCTGCAGATCCTAAAACCCATCAGGAACTGAAGACTTCGGATCCAAAGAAAACAGCTCTGAAGACAGTGATGGGGACTGGCGGACACACAGTGATGGGGACTGGCGGACCCCATCGCCCGTTTGTCTCTCTCCACCAAAGTCCCCATCGATATGCAAATTAACACCAGCAGTCAGTGTGTCTGCCGATCTACTCGAGAGACTTTCTGCCTCAGCTGCCCAATGGGCTCCTTCAGCTCCATGGCAACAATATCCGTGCTGTCATCCTCTGCAATACCATCTGGGATGGTCGGAACCAGGTATGGATCCAATGGTCCAGATGATGGAATGGCCACAAACACCAGCATCCTGGACCGACTGATCAGGACCGATGATCTGTTGTTCCAAAGATGAAGAAGAGCGCAGATCTGTACTCAGTTCCAAAACGGCATCAGAACCATCCCCAGAATACACTGCTGGATACTGTGATCTAGGGTCACCAAGTGAGGACTTAAGTTTCTACATTAACAAATGGTTGCGGATGGCATAGTCTTTATGGCTATAGGTAGTAAACCCAGAGAAAAGATCCTGGGCAGACTCTATCCAGACGCTTCAGTGGCGGTAGTCTTTCCTCTACTGGAAGAAATTCTTGATATGGTAAAGGCTATTTGGGAAAAAACATCCTTGATCTCAAAAGGTAGAAAATATATATTGAGTTCAGCAAGATGCATGCCTTTCCTTTTTACACATCTGGCTCCATCATCCTGGCCAAACAGAGATCGGGTTCCCATTCTGCTCCAGCCAACGAGGAGGGTTGAAAGGTGGACGCTGTAAGTTGCAAGGTTTGTGCATCCTCATCATTAAACGTCAGAATAGCCATTATGTCAGCACACCAACTTTCTCTATGGGAAAAGATTGCTCCATATTTAGATCAACTGCCGGAGGATAAAAAGACTTTAGCCAGGGTCATCCAGACAGAAGCACTTAGACTGTCAGAACAACAATCGAATGCCAACAGACATACAGCTGACGCTTCAGCACACACAATGGCCTAAGCTATAGCGCCGAGAAGACATGTTTGGTTACGGTCACTTACCTTTTGAAGGCTCCACGCTCTTCTCAACAAAGACTGATGACCTTCTACAACAAATTAAGATAAAACGACAAACAGCTCATTTGTTAGAATTGCTCCATCGCAGCCTCCTCATTACAAATCAAAATATCCGGGATGACGGAGCCGGATGTATTCCTTAAAAAAAAAGTGTTGTTCTCTAGCTCATAGCAGCGGCTCAGGACGATGGAGGGGGAGGGGTGGGCGTGAAGCCCCTCCCCAGAGCGTGTGACTGTTGGGCGGGAAATGGCTCCGGTTGGGAGGGGCTTCTCTTGCTCTATTACTATGCTAGGTAAAAAAACCTTCCGGCGGCTGGCCTGTGCACATGCGCAGTACCCATGTGTGCCTGCACAGTGAAAACTTGATGAACAACAGTCACAGGTAAGTGCAACGCTGTCTTTTGCATTCAAATGTCACTTAGCAATGGAAAGCTGTTCTGAGAGCCAGTTTGGTGTAGTGGTTAAGTGCGCGGACTCTACTCTGGGATAACCGGCTTTGATTCCCCACTCCTCCACTTACAGCTGCTGGATGACCTTGGGCAAGCCGTAGTTCTGATAAGAGCTGTCCTTGAAAAAGAGCAGTTTCTGTCAGAGCTCTCTCAGCCCCACCCACCTCACAGGGTGTCTGTTGTGGGGAGGGGAAGGGAGAGGATTTTGTAAGTCGCTCTGAGACACCTTTCGGTAGTGAAGGGCAGGGTATAAATCCAATCTCCTCTTCTTCTTTTTTCTGGAATCCTTCTGAGAAAAGTTCCACCTTCCTTTAACACTGAAAGGTTTTTCTTTCCCATCTTCTTGTTTGCCGCCTAAACAAACCCGCTTTTGGTCCTTCACGATGTGAATTTCTCTCCCGCTTCCATCTGCTTTGTGGGTCCAGGATGCGAGTGAAGAAGCTGCCCATGATTCTCGCTCTGCACTTGAAAAGGTTCAAGTACATGGACCAGCTGCATCGATACACCAAACTCTCCTACCGTGTAGTTTTCCCTCTGGAGCTTCGACTCTTTAACACTTCGGGAGACGCCACAAATCCTGACCGAATGTATGACCTTGTGGCTGTTGTCGTCCATTGCGGCAGGTAAGGGTGCGGGTGCGGGAAAGGCGGTGTCCGATTGGCAAGCAGAGCAGCACAGCGAGGATCCCCTGGGGTGGAGCGGAGGGCCCCCTTCCCCAGGGCGCTCTGCCGCCGTTCAGTGGCTGGCTGAGGCTCCGGAGCTGCTGACTTGTAGTCCGTCCGGGCAGCATCCCTCTCGCCCACCCCTCACCTCTCTCAGGGATGCTGCCTCTGGGCAAAGAGGTCCCCTGTAACCGCCATGGCCGATGGACGCTGCTCCGTCTGTGTGCAATTGCCTAGGTGTTTTTGCTTTTAAAGCTGCCTAAGCTACTGGCTGTCCCCGCACTGAAGACCCAAAAATACCACGGGCGAGCGGCACATGAGACTGATGAGCACGAGCCCCATCCACGGCCCCGTTCTCTGCCCTCTTGGCGCCCCGGATTGTTCTCTCCTTCCCATGTGGGCTCCTCCCTCACCTTTCCTCTGCCCGTTTTGTATCTCCCATCCCCACCCTGCCTTTCCCAGTTTCCACCACTCGACTGCCCTGCCAGGAAGGCTTGGCTGAGGGAGGTGGAAGCCGTGAGGAAAGGCCGTGCAAGGCTTCCTTTGGGACCAGCGCCCGGGGCAGATGCCCAGCACTTCTCGCATGTTGCAGTGGCAGGCGGGTGCTTGGGGTCTTCCCTGTTGCGCAAATGGCTGGGAGGGCAACGTGTTCTATTTTATGTTTTTTAAATGGCTAGAATTCCTGCCTCCAAGGGATAGATCAAGATGGGTGGCCATGTTAGTCTGTCTCTAGCAGTAGAAAAGAGGAAGAGCCCAGTGGCGCCTTAAAGGCTAACGGGATTCGTGGCAGGGGAGGAGCTCTCATGGGTCACTGCTCACTTCTTCAGATACGAAGTACCCTGCCACAAATTTTGTTAGTCTTTAAGGTGCTATTGGACTCCTGCTCTTTTCTCCTGCCTCCAAGAGCATTAGTGCGTTCTCTTAATGCACACGGGGACATTCTCTTCTGAAAATGCTGAGCTGTTAGGAGAGGCCAAATGCAAACCACTCACTTTCCGGCAAGGTAAAATGAAATTAAAGCCCCTGCTGGAACAACAGATCTTTTTGAAGCGGCTTAGTTTGTTTTTTATACTGCTCCTGCCACCACGTGGTTAAACTGTGCATGGCTTAATGCATTTCTTTATTTATTTACGTTCTGTGTAGTCCACCTTTCTCGCCACTGAGACTCAAGGCAGATTACCTGGAATAAATCACTGCAGTCAAGAGATTTAGAGCATAAATGGATTGTCTTTTGCTATGTCGAAATCATAACAGGAAGTCCATTTCTGTGGAGCAAAAAAGGTGTTGTACAGGATGAAATGTTTTCTTCCTGAGCCTTTCAGTATACCTGCTTAACCACAGTGGGCACATCTGAAAGACCTAACCAAGCCCATCGCGTAGTGTGTGTTTAAACGCTATACTCAGTGATATGGGCTTCGATCCTGAGCTGTGCTTCTGCTGTCACTTCTCTGCTCCTTGAAAGATGTTTGCCTTGCGCAGTGGAAGTGCCTAATGCAGGACGAAGGCCTTCTGCAGCAAAGGACAGCCTCTGCCTATAAGTGGAAACAAGGCTCAGGATCCAGTCCAGTTTAATCTCCGTTCAGTTTACCCGTCTGAAGGGTGTTTCTCAGCGGAGGGGTGAAGCTGTGTCTGAGCGCTACTGCTTCATTCTGCTGCCAGAGGGATGCTTACGCTGATATCCCATGTCAAGGAGCATTCCCCTCTCGTCTTCTCCCTGGCATGTCTTTGTGTGCTCAGAAATTTTTTGTGCAGAGAAACATTCTGCAGTGTGTGCCCCATCTTACCATCTGGAGTGGCACAGTCAAGACATTACAGTTGACCCTGGGGGTGAGAACTGGCCAAAGTATGCGAGCTTTCATGAGTCACTGCTCACTTTACAGTTCTCTGAAGGAGTGAGCCGTGACTCACGGAAGCTCCTCCCCTGCCACACATTTTCTTAGTCTTTCAGGTGCTCCTGGACTCTTGCTCTTTTCTACAGACAGAATAACCCGGCTACCCATCTTAATCTGGCCGAAGTGCTGATGCTTGGATAGAAACCACCTCCAGCAGCATCCACAGGAAGGTGGTGTGCAGAGGACAGTGCTTGGCTCTGAAGTCCCTCTTCCCCGGAGAAACAAACGCAGGCTCTCGTTTTGTAAAGAGAGACCACTGGACCATGAGCACTACGGAAGGCTCTTCAGTGTGGCAAAATCCCCCAGGGGAGCTGCACATTCCTTCCCCAGCATGGTGTTGTGGCACACTCTTCTCTCGTGGAAGTCAGGCCTGAGTAGAAGAGGCATCCCAAGGGACTGTGCCCCATTTTAACGGGTGGGTGGGTGGTGGTCTTTAGATTTTCTGTACCAAAATGTCTTGGGCCAGCATTGGTTTAATGAACTTGCAGCACTTGATAAAGCTGCCAAGTCTTGTCTTTGACACTTGCAGTAACCAGGGAAACCTTATTTATCAGTAGTACGGCAAAGACCATTGCGCTTCTCCAAGGTGTGTGGCTGTGTGAGTCTGTCTGTAGCAGCAGAAAAGAGACGGCGTCCAGGAGCACCTTCAAGACTAACAGAATTTGTGGCAGGGGAGGAGCTTTCCTGAGTCATGGCTCACTTCTTCAGATTCTTCTGACGCTTCAGTTATCTGAAGAAGAGAGCAGTGGCTCACGAAAGCTCCTCCCTGCCACAAATTTTGTTAGTCTTGAAGGTGCTCCTGGACTCCGTCTCTTTTCTACTGCACCGAGCTTCTGTTAGAGACAAAGAAAATAAGCCTGCCTCCTGCTTGCTGCTGCAGATAGGGGGGATTTCCTGTGTCCCACTCTATGGTTGGTGCGTGACTCTGTGATGATGTAAGGTTGGCCCTGTTTGTCATCTGGCAAAGACAGACAGAGAATTTTAGGAAGCCGAAAGAGTTCCTGCAAGGGAATTTTTTTTGTTCCTTCGAGAGTTATAAATACGTTTTAAAGTATGAAATAAATGTTTTTCCCTTTTCAAATAAAGACAGTGGTACAAGAGCAGTCATGTCCAATATAAAAGCAAAGAATCCCCTTTTAGACAAACCTCTTGAGTGGGGAAAAACCTTTATAGCATTGGGGTTTTTTTTAAAGGGTTTCAGTTTTTTGTTTGTTTCACTGTTTCAGAGGAGCACCTTTGCAGTGGTTTGTGAACGAGAAACCACTTCAGCACTGCCAAAAGGGATTTTTAAAGTATTTCATGTTTCCGTGCACAAAGGGCTGGTTTTGAGAGGGGTGGGGGGTTACATTGCAGGAGATCATAATTGCACTCTTCTGTATCATAGAAATGACCCCTCCAACACCAGCTAAAAGTATGTTTTTCTACAGAGGTGGGGTGCATTTTGAAGGGGCTTATTTTCATTTTTACTTGCTGACAGTGCATTCCAGAAGTAGCAGAACCCCAGATTCTGGCTTTGTGGGTTCTGCTCCGGGAAGTGTTTCTGGTAACACTGAACCCCCATCCCAGGGAGAAATGCGGGAGGGACAGACTTTGCGCGCATCTCTAGTTTCAGAGCGGGAGTTCCATCTCTTCAGCTAATCCTGTAGCTGCTTCCTTAGAGAAAATGTCATCTTCAGCGAGTGTAACCACTTTCTCTCTTTGTCACAGTGGTCCAAACCGTGGACATTATATCACCATTGTCAAAAGCCACGGGTTTTGGTTGTTGTTTGACGATGACATTGTAGAGGTAGGTCTCTTCCGATTCCTTCTGTCCTCTTCCCCATCCCAGCCACTTTCCTCTACGCCCCCTTCCTTCTCTTAGCCCCTATTCTCCACATGGCCTGCCCTCAGAGGGGTTGACCTGACACGCAGCCGCCACCCCTGCCGTGGTGTGGGAGGGATTCCCGCTGTGCTTCTCATTTCTTTGCTGACACCAGTGGAAGAAGAAAATAGAGGACCTGCATAGTGCAGGGAGGGTCAGGCAGTCCCTGGACTCTCACACTGGAGTGGCTGGCCCAAGGCCCGGCTCAGGTGCGTGAAGAAGGGAA